TCAAAAAGATGATCCACAAAACAATTGAAATATTGCACCTTGCCTAAGAAGCATTGCATATTATTCACACACTTTGAAGTAGAGAACTTTAGAATAGCTACAAGTTTGTTGGGATCAACTTGTAAACCCTCACGAAAAATATAGTACCCAAGATAAGTTGTGTCCTTGGATCTAAACATGCACTTCAACCACTTCAGCTTTAAACCAACGCCCCGTAGCTGATCCAACACTTTACAAACATCACAGATGTGTTCCTCTCACATCCCCTCCAAATGGATCAAAACATCATTAATGAAGTCAACAATCACTTCTAACATATCATAAAAAATTTCATCCATCATCCGCTAGAAAGTCGGTAAAGCATTGTTCAAACCAAATGGCATCACCAAGAACTCATATAAACCAAATAGTGTACGAAAAATAATTTTAGGAATATCTTCTTCGGCCATCATTATTTGCCAATACCTAGAAATAAAATCTAGCTTGGTGATCAACAATTTCTCTTCAGACAATCCAAGAGATCAATAATGTGAGGAAGAGGGTACACGTCCAAGATTGTCACTTCGTTTAACAAACAATAGTCGATGCAAAATCAAATACTCCCATCATGCTTTGTCACAAGATGAGGTTTACATACCCAAGGACTATGCAACTTTTGAATAACACATTTTTCCAACATCTTCTTGACATTTGTATGTAAAATTTTAATCTCTTTGGGTGATTGATGATGAATAGGAACCTTGATTAGACAAACATCCTTAGTTGGAATTGGATGACATGTGGCAATCTTGGTTCCAGACGATAAGTCAAATTCAAAGAGGTCGACATACTCCTTTATGAGCCGGTCAACCACTGCAACACAAAGATTGTTGGAAGGATCTAAAAAGGGAAGAGTGGAACAAGACAGAAACATGGAAGGAAGTAGTAGAGAGACAAAAGTAATGGAAGCAAAGGTAAAAACAAAGGGACAAAAAGGTAAAGAAGTGAAAGGAATGGATAAAATATAAAAAAGTATGAGACAAAGGGGAGAAGCCTCAAAGTCACACTTAACATGATTGCGCTGTAACTAATCCATACCAAAGATGAGGTCAAAAGCTTAACTCAACACCACTTGCAATGATTGCAACCCAAGCTCGAGATCACCCACATGCACAACTAAGTTTGCCTCATCCCGTGCACATGCATGTGTATGACCATTGCCATAAAGAATGAAAACTGGCTCTACTACATGACACAAGTGTAGACGACAATGTGTGGTAACAAATCAAGCAATAAAAGATAAACTTGAACTTGTATCAACCAATACGAAGAAAATAATATGAGACCTTTTGTTATAAAAACGAGCTTAAAAAGTAAACATTGAATGAACTGGTGCCAAGTAAACCCTTGATAATACTCCCAAAAGAAAGATAGAAGGGTCATTAACTTATTTGCACAAGGTCCCTCCATTACTCACACAACTCCTCATTTCTCAAATGCATCTCGGTGTCCAAACCTTCCATTGCAGCAGCACCAACAGGACATTGTTAACGCTAAGGTCTCCACCCAGGAAATGGAGGCTACCAATCTGGAAAATATCGACAATGCCGATAAGTGTGACCAACTTCATCATATGCTTAGCAGCAAAAATCACGGCCACAACTACGTCATCACATTTATCCTTGGACTCAAGCAGTAGCAGCATCAACCTCCATTGAAACAGGACTTTCACCCACAGGAAGTGGAGTTGAAAGATATGCAGTGAGAAGTGGAAGAGATGACATATTATAACGTTGTGCCAAGCAAAGAGCATTGTTAAGGGTTTCTGGAGCAAGTGCATGCACAAATCTAACAAAATCTTGACAAAGTGCTAGCCACAACATTACTAACTTGATCCGCTTCAACATATTTGACTCTGCACAAAACAAGAGGCTTCATAAACAAATGCCAAATTGCATCACCAACTTAGATGGCCTTTAAAAAAACTGATGCAATTGTTAGAAGGCATCATCACAATCATTGGCATGTCTGAATATGCATTTAAAAACGTCTGGGAAAACACTCCAATCCCCACAAGTGGCTACACTCAAACCATTGTACCATTTTAGCACCATCCCTTGGAGACACGTGGGAAACTCACACAAACATCAAGCATCATCCTAAGAATGATATATGGCAATCACTGTGAAGTGATCAAATCAATAATATATATCATCTCCAGGATTCACATAAAAGAACTCTGGCCAAACATGAGGATTGGCACCAAGAGTAAAAAGAGTTGTACCATGTGTTATGAATGTCACCATCAACTAAGTTTGGTTGTTTATAACACAACCTATCTCTCTCCCTTTAAACCAACTGGAAAAGGGACAATTGCTTGATAAAAGAGATGTCCTATAGTGGATACCTTTGTCTATAAATGCTCCATCAAGAGAAAGGAAATATGCATGGATGCATAATATGTACGATTTCAAACTTAATAGTAAGAATATACCTTGCTAAAGGGGATATTATATTTTTAAGTAGCTACAAATCAATGGGAATCGAACTCATACAATTTGCTCCGATACCACATGTAACACACCCTATCTCTCTTTCCTTAAGCAAACTAAAAAAGGGGCAATTGCTTAATGAGAGAGCCCTTAGTGGCTATTTTATCCCTATTTATCCCCTAAAATTCCAAGGATCCACAATGGCAATATATCCAAATCTCATCCCATAATCACATGCGCTACATTGTTCAATTGCAAAATCACATAGCATCAAGCAATTGCACTAACTACTGCTCTAAAGTCAAAGGAGGAGGAAATTGCTACTCTACCATAAAGATGAATGAAAAGGAAAAAGCAAAATTAGAGAAATGAAAAAAAGCTAAAAAAAAAGGAAGATCTAGACCATACAAAAGCTAAATTTAAACTAAAATCCTGAAAGGAAAGAACAAAAGAAAAGAAATGGAAAGCTAGATCTAGACAATGTGAAAGCTAAATCTAAACCAAAATCCCAAATCCAAGCACTCCTCAGAGACAATCAAAAGTACCCCTCAACTCGAGTGCATGGAATATGGAAAAGGAATATAGAAAAAGTGCATCTTAATTAACCCAAAAATCTTCAAATAGTCTGGATTGAAACCAATTTGATGACTACCAAAACCCCATTACACTAATATTAGTATACGGCATCATAGCGGTACACTTAGACCTCACAACATCATATGAGTATTAAATATTATAATGTATTTCTGATAAAAAGGTGTATATAAGATTTTCATGGGAACTCACAGCAAGGAACTCACACAATATACTCAACTGCAAAAACATTTGGGAAAATGCTTTAATACTCAATATTAGACTTTAAAGATTTTATTATTGAGAAAGAGAAATATTCTCAACCTATATCCAAATCAATTTGAATATGATAATAAACGTTTAACTCCATAAAAATTATAAGTAATTTGTGATTAATTTTCTGAAAGAAGAAACTTACAAAATACCAAAACACAAAATTGCTAGACAAGATGAAAGATTGGTTGGGGAAAGAATAGATACAGAAGACGAATTTAGATATAAATTCAATTACTATCTTGCCCAACTCATCCTCAAAACTATCAAAATTCCCATCAGACAAAGGGAGTCCACTTATGTTTTTAAAAATTTCTTCTTATAAACTTAATACGAATTTTATGCATAAAATAATGTCTCACATTAATTAGAGATGGTAATAGATCAAAGACAAGAAACATCCCCACAAAAAAATAACATACTAAGGATAGGAATAGCATTAATATAGTCATGCCCCATAACACATCCAAAGCCTCAATCCAAAAATGATATAACAATAGGAACAATAGGAACAGTCTCAGTCATGAGCTGGAATCTATCTATGGTGGCTCTTCTTTCCTAGAATACTAAACTAGAATGAAATCCTTAGCCAGTGGATTCTATATTTGAGAGTAATGACTTATATATATATATATATAAACACACACACACAAAAATAGTGTCATTATACATTACTTTGAATTGTATTTTTTATTTTAAAAAATGTAATATGTTACTTACATCTAAAATACATGAATGATATACATATTCACTGAAAATTTTAAAGTTTTGTTAGATTTCTTCATTTGTAAGACAAACGCCTTTCAAAGTAAGCAACAAAACCCCTCATCGTTATTGACATGCTGATCTGCTTTCTCGTGCTTAGTTTGTGAGAGCAACTCATCTCTTGAGATCTCAATATCGACATACATGGAACCATCTAAAATTGTCAGCTTTGCACCCGTGAAACCTTGGCTGATGCATCTGTCCCAAAGCTCTTGAAGTGCTTCTGCAAAATCATCTACTGTAAGCCTATGTACATGGCGAATGTGAAGAAAGACTCCAAAGTTTCCATGTATACCAACATAGAGATCTGGCCTAAAATTATTCGCAATGAAACTCCTCCAGGCAGCTGCAGCTCCCGCACAATAGTCTTCCTGGTGAGTTCTCTGGTGCCTATAACCTACACATTGACGATATGACAAATTTGAATAAGCAATGGATTCAATGGCGAGATTAAAGACCAGGAGTGACAGTAACATATACATTTTGGTTGCAAACATGTGAGAAATAATCTATTTATTTGACTGTGTCCTCAATTATCAGAAGGAAAAGTCAAGGCACAATAATTTCTTTCCAAAATTCCAAAATTTAGGCAAGCATATTCGTGTGTTTTGGAACCTCCATCTTAGCTTGATTGCAACAGCAAGGAAAGCTCAGCAAAGTCGTTATATCGTAAGCTACTCATATCTTTCACGGTTTCCTCAGTTGTCTCAAAACAATACTACACCTTAGAAGAGCGGAGAACATAAAAAAAAAAAAAAAAAATCAGTTTTGTGTGTCAGGGGGGCGAGGGAGCGCCCAGTGCTCGAGGCAGAGGAGCTTTCACGCATCACACAGCCCCCCCGTGAGCACACTGCTGCCGGAAAAAAGACTTGTCGGCATACCTGTCCGCCTCAAAGAGTGATAGAAAAGAAGAAAAACTTACACACGAAAAACCATCAAACTTGAATTTCCGTAGATCTCTTCCAGTAGGTACAAACTCTTACTGACCATGCTTTGTTTTTGTCTCTGCTCTCTCCTCCTCAAAAGAATTGAAGACCACAGTTAGTTAATGGTATCTGGTGGATAGTACCAGTTTCATAGATAGTTGTTTGTCGCCTTAAGGATTATTGCACCCCCTTCGCTTCTGTTTTGTGTGTCCCGGCGTCACAGCACTGTACAGCCCCGTTGCTTCTTCTTTCGTTTCTTCTGCTTTGGAGGTTGCAACACCACCTTGATTGCCGCGTCGAACACAGCTTTCACATTCTGGGGCACCAAAACGAAGGGTGTTTTAGAAAGATGTGCCTCAAACGAGGGCCGAGCCAAACCTGCTGCGTCTTTGAGCTACACTCGATGTAGGCAGCCGCCCCGATTTGCTTCCTCAGCTCTTCGCCCTGCAGCATCACGTGGCTTATAAATTCAGTAAAGAGTCGAGACAAGCAAAGGTGTTATGACCTGTGCAGTGGTAATAGCTGTAGCACCCGGATGATCGTTAAAGAAGTGCTTGTCATCCCTGAGATCTGAGAGCAAAACAACACTTCCGTTAGCAGCAATTACAACGGAGAAAGGATGACGTTAATCTTACCCAGCTTTGTACCCACAAGGATGACAGGCACGGTAGAAGCATAATGTCTCAGCTCCGGAATCCACTACAAGACGAAGAAACAAATTTAGAAAATGCGAGGCGAAAAGCAAACCATTGTAACCTTCTTCGAGATGTTTTCATAGCTGGCCCTGCTGATAAGGGAAAAGGCCAAGAGGAAAACATCGGCTCCTCTATAGCTGAGGGGCCTCAAGCGGTTGTAATCTTCTTGACCTGCGTGACGAAGCAGCCAGAGATGAGAGATTGATTCATCCTCAAATCAAACACAGATTTTTTTTTGACGAACCAGCAGTGTCCCAGAGCCCAAGGTTGACAGTGTTGCCATCGACAACCACATTGGCGCTGAAGTTATCAAAAACAGTGGGAACGTAATCCTGTTGATGAACGATCCCAGCCCAAGAGAGTTAGAGAAAAAGGAAAGAACAAAACGAAATCTCACAGTGGGGAAAGTGTTGCTCGTGTATGAAATGAGCATGCAAGTCTTGCCCACCGCACCATCTCCGACGGTAACGCACTTGATAAATCTTGAAGTGCTCATGATTCTCCTCTTGCCCCTTTCCTTCGAGATTTTTTTTCTTTCTTCTCCCTCGCTCTGCTAAGCAAGAACCAGCCAAGCGCCTCTTCTTTCCTCCCGCATTTATTCCCCTAGAAACCAAAACCTACCCCACTGCCGCTCCTCCTCCTCGCGGGAGCTACTGCATTGCATTGCTCCAAGAAATTCCCCAATGCCGTGACCTAGATCTGTCACTGGAGCTGGATTGCTTGCAACCGACGCCGGAGAGCAAGGAGAGAAATCTTCCAATCTTCCAAACCAAGCGCGTGGATCTGCGCCTCGGCCGGCGCCTAGAGAGGAAGAAGGGCAAAGCGGACGAGATGGAGGACAAAAACTTAACTCTTTATGTGAGTGTGTGCGTTGTTCTTCTACTATACCTCGTCTTTGAAGCGTGGAAAGAGAGGGGAAAGAAAGTGGAAAGAAATGGGGGTTGTGATGGGTAAAAGAAAGAGCTTTGGCGTTTGTTTTTAAATGAAAGAGAAACTCTCCTCCCAAGTGGTTGCCGTTGGGCCAGTGGTGTACGGTCAGGATTGGGACGCTTTTTGTTTTTTAAAAAGGGCCCAAATTTTCTTTCATGACTTGGAAAGGTGGCGCCAATGGATTCATTTGACTGATGTTTGCAAGTCACTCCAACAACATTGGGTGGGCTCCAATTTCCAAACCATATGATAACAATTTCTCTTATTCTTAGTAACATTCTTCCTTCCCAAGGCTCTAAAAGATACATGTGTACTCTACTCAAGGTAGGAGAATATGCGGATAATGGGTGTGGCTTAGAGTAAGCAGCAATACCCCTCGTCATTGTCAACTCCTTTGTCGTGCTCAGTGTGTGAAAGGAGGTCCTCTGTTGCGATTTGCACCTCGACAACCATGGAGCCGTCTGAGAGGGTCAACTTTGCGCCTGTGAATCCCTGTTGGATGCAGTGATCCCAAAGATCTTCGAGGCCTTCCGCAAAATCTTCAACTGTGAGGTCGTGCACCCGGTTGATGTGAGCGAAGATTCCAATACCGCGATTTATGCCAATATAGAGCCCCGGTGTAAATCTCATCAGGACAAAATTTCTCCATGCATTTGCAGCGCTTTCGCAATAGTCTTCCTGGTGGGTTCTCTGGCGCCTATGCCCCACACATTCTTGATATGCCAAAACTGAGTAATTTAAGGATCTTATGACATAATTTAATAGCAGAATCGACATTAGCAAATATCTCATTGTCTGTTGGAAATACATGAACAAAGAAAAGTGAGTATTTATATACAGCTAAATAGGATATGCAATTATTCCTACAATAATGATTGACTAAGTTTGATAATTATTTATAAAACTTTATTTATTCATCCTATTTCTATTTATTTTTATATATTTATAACATTTTCAGAATAATGATTAATATTATACTAGAATTAATTAAGTACTTCTAAAAGAATGTTTGGCAGTGCAATCTATTTCCAACTCTATTTTTGGTTAAACCTATAGGTACCTAGTATATACTTGGATATTTTAGTATTAATCTCTGACCTAATGAGAATATTTTTTATAAAAATAAATATGTTTATAATTTCTATAATTTCTTAAACAGGACTTTTCTGTTAAAAAAGAACAGCAACTTTAGTTTAAGTTATAGAAATTTATCTAAAAGAATATTTAAAATTATTTTTAGATTAAAACCTTATATATTAATAATTAATAGATATTTTAGGATAACGAATAAAACAATTGTAACAAAATAATTTCAAACTAGTCAAAATTATAGTGAAGATAATTCTATTTGAATTGTATCTTATAAAAAGACATTTTTTTCATATATATCATAAGCGACAATGAGATATTTGCTAATGTGGATTCTACTATTAAATTCTGTCATTAGATCCTTGAATTACTCAGTTGTGGCATATCATGAATGTGTGGGGCGTAGAAGTCAGAGAACCCAACAAGAAGACTATTGTGAAAGTGCTGCAGGTGCATGGAGAAATTTTATCTTAAGGAATTTTACTCCAGGGCTCTATTTTGCCATAGAGAACTCTATTGGAGTTTTTGCTCACTTCAACCGGGTGCACCAGCTTACAGTTGCTGATTTTGCAGAAGGCCTCCAAGATCTTTGGGATCAATGCATCAGCCAGGGATTCACAGGTGCTAAGCTCACCCTCTCGGACAGTTCCATGGTTGTTGAGGTCCAAATCTTAAGAAATGAATTGTTGTCACACACTAAGCAAAAGCAAAACAAAGGAGTTGACAATGACGAGGGATATTGCTGTTTACTCTAAAAGACATCTTATCAATATATTCTTCTACCTTGAGTGTATGGATTATTTAAGCCTCCGAAGGAAGAATGTTAATCTTATGCTTCTAGTTGTTTAAAATATGTAATAATAATAATACTAGGAATAAGGAAAAATATAATATTAATGAGGTGCTAAAGGATTTAAAATATGTAATAATATTAATACTACAAATAAGGAATAATTTGCTGTGTGTTTGCCAAAACACTTCGTTTGCTTAAGATAAACAGAAGGTTCCACTTTCTTCATCTTCAAAGGGAATCAAGAAAGAAACAATCTCGGGCTCAGCAGCAGCAGCATGAACGATTGAAGTTTCCCTCAGTCCATAAGTTCTTAATATACTAGCTTTCATATTAGAAAGGCTGGTTTTGGAGCTAGGTGTTATAGCTTTGGCTTGGAAATCCCAACAGCAGTGTTTGCATCAGGCAAGAACAAAACTCTCCTTCTAACAGGTTGGAGTGTAGAGAGATAAAAACAAACAAGAACTCAAGAGCTAGCCCTCTATAAGCACTGCTTAATTCTTTTGAGCTTGTTGAAATTACTCTTGCAGGACCTGTTCCTCGCCACAAGATCGCAACAGCAGGCAAACACAGCTTCTAGCAGAAAGGACGACCTGCACTAGAATCCTGTCGTCTCTAGCCTTAAAACCAAACAATTTCAAGTCAAATCTCGTGACCAGAACCTTGTCCATCTTTGTCTCTATCTCATTGCTCACCCCAAGGAATGGACATGCATCCACTTTATAGCATTGAAATGATATTAATTTGATTTACTTTTTTGTCATGGGTGTTGTCAATTAGCAGCAACACACTTCTTACACAATCAAAATCTCGACTTGCATGCACAATACCTTTGTTAATGCAATCGTCCCCGAGATCCTGAAGGGCTTCTGCAAAATCATGAACTGTAAGACTGTCCACCTGGTTTATGTGCCCAAAAAGTGCGTAGTCCTTTTGTTCAGTTAACTCTATGATACCTATGCATTCATACACAAAGTTGACTATGAAAAATCACATGGAATAACCAAGTGAATATCTCATGCTTATTTGGACGACTTTTATACATATCCTTTTATGCTCAATTATCAAAACGGAGTTTCAAATCCAGCATATTCAAAAAATGATTCTTCAAATATACCCCAGCATCTCTTATCCTCGCGCGCGCGCGCCAAAGGGTTTTCAGACTTTCGTGATGCGGAGGAGAGGCTGGGCTTTTGGATTAGGTCTGGGATTAGGGTTTGCGTTGCTGCTGCTGGCGCCTGGAGCAGCTGGCTACGGCAGGAGGGCGCCATCGCCAGGCATCTTCAATGTCTCCGATGTCAATGTGAGTTTTTCGAGAGGAAATGCCGGATGATAATCCTCCTCTTTTTGCGGTTCTCTCCATCTTCTAGGTGCCGGCTTTCTTCCGGAGCAATGCAAACCAGGTCGCGTCCAAAGCCACCAAGGCGCTCAACATTGCTGTGCTCAAGTTTCCACGCCTTGATGCCCTTCAAAAGTTCAAAAAGTACAATGGAGAGTTCGATGTCATCAACAAGCACTACTGGGCTGTATGCTCCCTCGTCGCTTTCCATGCACACTAAAACACCCACGTAAGTGGTGATTGGCGATGGAAACTTTGGTTTCTCTCCGCTCCTCTTCGGTGTGTTCTAAACTCCTGCTTTTGTCCTCCACAGTCTGTGGCCTTCATTGGAATTTGGGGCTACGTCCTGGCAGTCCTCACCTTCATGTGTGCATGCATGGTTTGCGCTTGCAAATTCTGCTGCTACCTCTGCGGCTACAAGCTTCCAACCAAGGATGAAGGGGGAAGCCTTTTGAAAAGGTGCTCGAGAATGACCTCCCTTCTACTCTTGCTGGTGTGTACCATGTAAGTACTCTCAATTTTTTTTACTTGTTCTTCTTCATCCGAGCAATCCATCTCATTATTCTAAAGCTGTGCGCAGAGCAGGCACAGCAGTGCTTTTCTGGGGGACTTCGAAGACTGGAAAACAGCTGAAACAGACCACGGATGTAGTGATCAATGCGACAGACTTTGTTTTGGACACGGCGGATGAGATTGTCTCGTCTCTCAAGAGTGCAGCGGGCGTGATATCCGATCCTACGGCCTCAGCCAACATTCTATCAGCTGCTAACAACGTCGACGGTGGGAGTGGTGGAATCGGGGTCAAGGTGTCCAAGATCAAAAAGAAAATCCCCTTCTATCTCAAGCTAGTGTGAGTGACGCGCACTCGTCTTCCTTGGCATTTTCGTCACGACCTGTTTGATCACCTTGCAGCTTTATTTTCCTCAACATCATTGGAGCCTTCATATGTTTGTTTGCGGTGATCGGTCTAGGTAACTCTTAGCTTCTACAAGTTGTTTGGTTCTCGCCAATCTCACAGTTACCTTTTCTTCACAGTCGCTGTTTGTGCACAGTCGTCTACATACGGGAATATGTGAGTGAGCTCAGCATCTAAACCTTTTCTTCGGATTTTTACTAAACGCCGTGCCAACAGAGCTTTCATGGGAATGGCGGTTATGCTCTTTGCAGCGTGGTTACTGGCAGGACTAGACTTCGTTCTCTCCCGGTACGTGAAAACTTTAAAAAAGCTAGAGGTGGAATTTAAGCTTCCCCCTCTTGTGACTTTTCGCAGTGTTACAAACGATGCATGCGAGGCCATGCGGGAGTATAACGCTGATCCGACCACCACAACACTGGCCACCATCTTCCCGTGCCAGTCACAGGCCTCCGCCAGTTCCACCACGGGAAGTGCAAAATCAGCACTCAAGGACATCATCGCTCAGACCAACTCGGCAATTACTACCATTAACTCCAACACCGGCTCGAGCTTGCCACAGATCTGTGACCCCTATGGAGCTGGTCCTGGCTACGCCGACGTTGCTTGTGCTCTAGGCACCACCCCCATGGCAGACTTCCAGACTGTAAGTTCTAACTTGGCTCGAGCTCTAAGATCCTGATGTAAGCTTTTCCATTCCTCCAGGACTTCGGCCCCTACAGATGCGTCGACGACGTTCAGGCCAGTTGCACAGCATCAAACACTCCCATTCTCAACAGCAACTATCAAAACATGGCCACAGCCATGTCCGCCGGCGCTACCGTCTACAGCCTCATCCCCAACGTCAACGACATCCTCACTTGCACTTTCATCCACAACGCTTTCAACGTGCTGGTGACGGGACAATGCGTCAAGCTCATCGATGGCTTGAACATCAGCTGGTTTGGATTCGCACTCTCGGCTTCTTTCATGATGCCTCTCCAGCTCTACTGGATCTTCATATGACCAGCGCTACGATTGCTCCTACCCCTACGAGTTTCTCACGAATCCTGCTGCTGCTGATCCTGCTCCGGGGAGTACAAGTTGAGACGAGGCTTTCCCATGCTGAAGTTGAGCACTCTGCAGTCGAGATTGTACTGGATCTCTCCTGCCAGCAGCAACTTACGAATGAAGTGCTCGATGTCGGATCCTACCAAGCGAAGTGTGTACTCGTCCAGAGGAGCTCCCTGTAATTCCCATGTCAAGACTTTTCTTTCCTACTACTATCATCTACGGAGGACTCGGTGGAGAGGTTTTACTTCATACGTGTCGACGAGCTCGCGGAGATGATCGTAGACTTTCTCCACCTTATCGTCCGGCCAGAGGAACTCGCTGTCGGGATCCAAGATGAGCGTCAACTTATCTATTTGCGTCTGATCCATGGCGAAGGTCACGGGATCGATGGCGGCGGCGTAGAGGCGGACGTGACGAGTGGTGCAACTCAGCCATCTCCCTCCTTGCGCGGGGCCATCGCGAGTCATGCCTTTGTTCTGGATTTGCTCGCCCTCGGCCCTCACAACCATCCATCTCCTCCTGGGATTCTTGCTGCGCTTGAAACTGGCGCTTGGAATCCCGTTCCTGTTCGTCATGAGCTTGCAATTGGATGAAGGAAGAGCGAAATTGACCCCTCTCACGCTCGACGCGGCCATAGCCAAAGCAAAGAGGAAAATGTGGTCGTTGTTTTTCAGACTTTTCCTGCCAATTGGCACAAAACAAATGTTTGTTTGTTCTTGATTTGGAGAGATGGAAGTTTTCTTTCATTCTCTGTTAGTGTTCTATTTACAATTGAGAGAGAGTTAACTTGAGAAAGGACAAGAGATCATGGATGAGCGAAGCATCCCCCAAGCCAGCGTTTTCTTCGAGTGTTTTGACAGCTCTTGTGGCAAACAAACGTGATCTGCTCGTCAGAAACAAACAATTTAGATCGATCGTGTAGAGGAGAGAATACAAAAAAAAGAAAAAGGGGGACGATCTTGCCTGATCATCGCGTTGTATTCCAATTGATCGCAGTGTCGCTGAATCGTCCAGGAGCTTTTGATTCATGTAGCACAGGCAGAAATTAGCCCATACTTGATCCCTGGAAGGACAAAAGGAATTTTAAACACAAAGATTTCTAAAGTTACGAACGAACCAATCTATGCTGCCAGAGCCCTGCCCCAAAGATTTCTTCTGGAGATCATTCGCGGTGAATTCCAGCGATGCCTTGAGATCGGCCACGCTCGCGCCGTCCAGCACCGAAATCTCTAGTGAAGAGTTGCGAATCCATGACAAATAAAATCCAATCGACTTACCAAAGGCTGTTCCATCCAGTTTCAATACATTGACATTCATGATCTTCGCTGCCAGTGTATCCTCGGAGAAGATTGGGCCATGTTCTTGCTTCGCCTTTCGGATCTTCATCTCGTTTCAAGCGAGCTAGGGCTCCTCGGGAAGGAAAAACCAAAAACCCGGGAAAGGATCACGTGTACCAATGACATTGTGCCGCTTGGCTTATCATTTAGACGGTTGAGATCTATGCTCATCGTTTAGGTTTAAGGTAGGGTTCTTGAGCAGCGAGGCGGCTGCGCTGCGCCATGGCCGTCGGGTACGTGCGCTCGCTTCTCGCCGTGTGGCTCTAGCTCAATGTGTGATTCTTTGGCAGGAAGAACAAGCGGATTTCCAAGGGAAAGAAGGGAGGCAAGAAGAAAATGTAAGTGTTTGGCGCAGCGTTTTGCCTGCTTGATTTCTTCTTTCCTCAGTGTCGACCCTTTCTCCAAGAAGGATTGGTACGATGTCAAGGCCATGTCCACTTTCAATGTTCGTCAGATCGGGAAGACGCTTGTGACGAGAACGCAGGGAACAAAGGTGAGCTTTTTCTACTGATCTCGATTTAATTTGATGTGTTCCTGTGCTTGTAGATTGCCTCGGATGGTCTCAAAGGGCGTGTCTTCGAAGTGTCGCTTGCGGACTTGCAGAATGACGAGGATCACGCCTTCCGGAAGATCAAGCTCAGGGCCGAGGATGTCCAAGGCCGGAACGTTCTCACGAACTTCTGGGTTAGAGAATTTTGTTTTCTCCTTTTGTGCTAGCTTCATTGTTTTCATACTCATGCAGGGAATGGACTTCACGACCGACAAGCTCCGGTCCCTCGTCCGGAAGTGGCAGTCCCTCATTGAAGCTCACGTTGATGTGAAGACGACTGACAACTACACCTTGAGGCTGTTCTGCATCGGATTCACCAAGCGGAGGCCCAACCAGGTGAAGAGGACTTGCTACGCTCAGTCGAGTCAGATCCGCCAGGTACACTTGAAAAGAAAGAGTTGGCTGTTCATTAACAAACACACTCTCGTGCAGATCCGCAAGAAAATGAGGGAGATCATGGTTCGTGAGGCCCAGTCCTGCGATCTCAAGGACCTCGTCGCTAAGTTCATCCCCGAGGTTATTGGGAAGGAGATCGAAAAAGTGACTGCGGGAATCTATCCCCTGCAGAACACTTACATTCGCAAGGTGAAGATCCTGAAGGCCCCAAAGTTCGATCTTGGGAAGCTGATGGAGGTAATGAAGAACCATATTTCCAGCAAGAACTTGTGTGCTTACTGTCATTTCTCCAGGTTCATGGTGACTACAGCGAGGATACTGGCGTCAAGGTTGAGCGACCAGTTGGTGATGAAGCCGAACCGGAGGCAGCAGAGGCTGAAGTAGTCGGGGCGTAAGTCGTCCTACTTGATATTTGTTTTGCCTCTTTTCCTTAACAGTACACAGTTTTGATATCGTTCTGCACAACTTTAAAAGTTCTCTGGAGATTTCTTCTCCATAGGAAAGCCCAGCTATATTCTCTCGCGGCTTCGAGTCTCTGCACTGTAAAGGGAGCGGGTAGAAATCAACTGAGAGGCTGTCAAGGACGGGGGCTTGATTCAGCTTCACATTCAAATCTTTGATTCATGGGAAAGGCGTGATTTGGAGTGGAAGCTTGCTGGTGTTGATTTGGCGGCTTCACACTTCCATCCACAAGAACTGAAACAATGAAATATCGAGTGGAGCTACTCGCATTCTCTCTGGAGCAGTGTTTCAGGGGGCGATCCAGAACTCGTAAGTTCAAGCTAGCAGGTTTAAGCTATGGTTCCTTGGAGTTTTCAGTTTTGATTCCCTTTCTTTTCCTTGGGAGGGCTGATACTTTGCTTGTCTCGGAGAACTATCAGGCACTCGAGAGTTAAGATTGATCGCCCCAAAAGATATGTCACCTGGATGAAGACGGCCTTTTACACTTCCGGATCGCTGATAGGGCTACAAAACTTAAATATCCAGACATCCCTGGTTGAGATGTATCAATTTTGAAATAGAGCTTATCTCACGTTTACCAAAAAAAATCGCTTGAAGTAGAGTGTAGTTCAAGAAAGGAAAGGTATCTTTAAAGTTGCGATTTAAAAAGGCGGAAGTTTTAAATTGCCACTCTCGAATTAGGGTTCTAAGAGGAATCGATGCTCGGTCGCTTCCTCTTCCTCGCCGCGCTCGCATTCTCGCTCTTCCTCCCCCCCGCGCACTCCGCCTGGTGGAACATCCTGTCTGTCGAGCCCAGGCGACCCCCTCGCCAGGCCGCCAATGTGGAGGAGCAGCCGGATCAGGTACACAATGCGCTGCCTCTCATGGATCATAGGGTTCCATTCGAGATGGAGACGGCGTCGGTGCCAGGCAGCGAGAGGGGCGGCAAGCTCCTCGAGGATTTGAAGAAGAAGCTGCAGAGTTCATGCTGGCACAGCGCCTACTCGAGCCTCTTCTCCAGTTGCCGTGAGGTGCTCAAGGATGACAGCAAGAAAATGAGGCTGGCTTACAAGTTTGCCGATTGCTTCCTTCGGAGCTCCGGTAAGGATCCTTTGAAATCCTGCCCGGATTCTTCTCCCGTCAAGGAGTGTACCAAGTCTCTCACCGATCACCGACACCATCTTCTTCTCCAATTTTTCATCGACATCGCATCGATGTGCCACCACCTTCAGTAAGTTTTTGTCGCTTCCTTCCACCACTCCATGAGCGCTCACACGTTCTTTCTTCTTTGGCACTGGAAACAGGAGCGAGGCTTTTAAGCTGGAAACGGAAGAAGTGATCGGCAACCTCAAGGACTCGGCTCACTGGGTGGAAGATAAGCTGGCTGTGATGCAGAGCCAGGCAAGGTCGATCTTAGACAACACGGACAAGATCTTCGGTTTGCAGCAGCGGCTGGAAGAAGAGTACTTTGTTATGAAGCGAGGCCTGGTTGAGATGCACGATGATCTCAACAAAGGCATCTTTCACCTCAAGGAGTACGCGGACGAGACGAACAAACACATGCTGGCCGTGTCGTCCTTCCAGAGGGAGCTGGCGGATCACCAGGAGAATATGGTTCGCCAGCAGCAGCTTCTCTCGGAGAACTTGCAAGAGGAAGTGTCGAGTTTGAGGTCCAAGGCGGAAGACATCAACAGCAACGTTGTCAAGTCCCTCTCCGGACAGGACGAGCTTCTTTCCGGCCAGGAAGCCGCGCTCAGTGGCCTAGCAAGCCTCAAGAGAATACAGGAGAAAATGCAAGAGGACGTGCTCCGAGAGAGCAAGCGGCTCCACGAGATGCATCAACGACTGGCTGACGGATCCGAGGCTATACTCAAGGCCCAGGAAGTATTTGCGTCCAAGCAGGCTCTCATTTTCACGTCCCTGGAGCGTCTCTTTGCGTTGCACAACGCGATTCTGACCGAGTCACGGACTGTGAAGGCTGTTCTATTCTACGTTCCCGTTGCCATACTGATATACCTCATCACCGGCACGAGGCAAACGAGCAATGGAAGGGTCGTTCTTTACGCTGGTAAGCAAAACCTCGTTTTCTTTTTTGCTTCTACGTAACTCTGTTCCTGTGTAGGCCTGTGTCTCTCTTTTGCGGCCGAGTTTTGGTCGCTACGTCTTCCAAAATCCAGCCCATACTATCAGCATGAGTATCTGACGAATGCGCTTTACATACGAGGAACTTATGCTGTTGCAGCTATTCTATACGTCTTCTATTGCATTCTTACCTTCAAGTAAGTTGATATCGGTTCGTTCTTTCTTTACCCTCACATTTCTTACAGGGACTATGCGAGCTTGAGCTACAAGATCCTTTTGGACATGCAGAAACGACTAGATGAAAATACGAGCTTCCTCGGCTCTCTGTACTTTGGGTCTTCCACTTCTGGTATGGACACTCAACTCGACTTGTAGTTTTCTCTCTGACTCGGGGCTTTTTCTTTCCTTGGTGTCATAGAAGCGCAGAATGGAGATTTTAGCCTCTTGGCCAATGTTCCACGCTTCAGAGGATACGAAGATGAAGCCGAACGGAGCAGGAAAGACGACTACTCGGATGATCCGGACTATGACCCTCAAGAAGACTCCGACTGCGAGGAGCTTCAATGTACTTTCTCACGCGACTATAACCTCCGTCGAAATGTGCGGAGGTAAACCATTTCTAACTGATTCTTTGTTTCTCAACAATCTGGCTTGTCATTTTGCAGGAGTGGCCGTCCTCTAGCTCGGAGTGCCGCGATACTCAGCTGGGAGGATGAAGAAATGTTTGTAAGTTTATTCAGGTGGGTTGCAATTTGAGTTTTCCTTTCATAACAAGACTTGTCTTAGCAGGCCTCTTTCTCCGAGATGAAGCTAAGGAGCAAGTATAAAAAATCTATCTGCATAGGGCATTCAGTCACGGGCTTGCGCAATGAGGGGTCTCATGACGGAGCGCGTATTTCCAACAGGTGTATGGTTCACGTCTCAAGGCAAGTCGGGATTTGTAAGGAGAAACGGTGGTGGTGCTAAGTTGATATGGAGGAGGGGCAGGTCGTGGGACTACTTGTGCTTGAGAATTACTGCTTCGCAGGAGGATAGTTCTTCGTTTGTGAGCACGGTACCAGACGAAGACGATGGCGTCACTTTGAGCATAGAGAAAGTGGCCAAGAACAAGCGTAGGATAAGTGCATCGATTTCTATGGGCTGCATACCACTAGAGACAGTCTGGGGCGTGTTAACTGACTACGAGGGGCTAGCGGACTTTATTCCTGGCTTGGCTTCCAGCAAGGTTTTGGAAAGAAGAGAAAATGGAGCTCAGCTTCTGCAGGTATAGATTTCTTTTCTCTCCTGATTCTAATCTCTATGCCGTTTTGTTTTTCCAGATTGGTGAGCAGGAGTTGGCGTTGGGTGTGAAATTCCGGGCCAAAGGAGTGATAGAAGTGACTGAATTGCCACTGGAACTCTTGGACAATGGCTGCCGAAGAGATATTGGGTTTGATATGGTAGAAGGCGACTTTAATCTGTTTCGTGGGATCTGGCGCATCGAACAGGTACACGTACGCGCGTCTTGTCTCTTTTTTTTTTTTTTTTCCTAAGGGTGCTGTTTTGTTTTGTTTTGTCTTTCTTAGATACTCCATGGCGTTGAAGATGCGACGACTCAAACTTCCCTCACTTATATCTTGGAGGTGCAACCAAAGATATGGATTCCAGTAGCTCTACTCGAGGGAAGGTTGCAGAAAGAGGTGAGCAACAATCTGATCTGCGTGAGAGACAGGGCGTTGCTGATCTTGTGACCGTAGAGTGAAGAATGTGACTAAAGATCTATATATTTGATTCTTTAGGGATTAAATTCTAGCTATTACAAGCTCACTTTTTGGGAAAAGGTTTTTCTGGAAGAAATTGTGGCTGCTGGGATTCGAGCCCAGGTCTCCACGGCCACAACGTGGAATTCTTACCACTAAACTACAGCCACATTATACTTTCAATTATTTCATATGTCAAGTGGTGTTGTAAGGTTTGTGCACTGCACAAACCTTGGACCTCACTTCCTGCAGAAAAACGCCGAGTCTTCCTTGGCGACTTAGAAGATTTGAGTCACTGAACTCTTTACGATATCAAAAATGTGTACAGTCAGGAAAAAACAAATGACGATGCCTTACGCCCCGACTACTTCAGCCTCTGCTGCCTCCGGTTCGGCTTCATCACCGACTGGTCGCTCAACCTTGACGCCAGTATCCTCGCTGTAGTCGCCATGAACCTGAAGAAATGTACAAGAGCACAGTAAGCACAAGAAGGTTTCGCTGGAAAGATGGCTCTTCATTACCTCCATCAGCTTCCCAAGATCGAACTTTGGGGCCTTCAGAATCTTCACCTTACGAATGTAAGTGTTCTGCAGGGGATAGATTCCCGCAGTCACTTTCTCGATCTCCTTCCCAATAACCTCGGGGATGAACTTGGCGACGAGGTCCTTGAGATCGCAGGACTGGGCCTCGCGAACCATGATCTCCCTCATTTTCTTGCGGATCTGTGAGAGAGGATGTTTGTAATGAACGACCAACTCTTTCTTTTCAAGTATACCTGGCGGATCTGACTTGACTGAGCGTAGCAAGTCCTCTTCACCTGGTTGGGCCTCCGTTTGGTGAATCCAATGCAGAAGAGCCTCAAGGTGTAGTTGTCAGTCGTCTTCACATCAACGTGAGCTTCAATGAGGGACTGCCACTTCCGGACGAGGGACCGGAGCTTGTCGGTCGTGAAGTCCATTCCCTGCACGAGCATGAAAGTGGAACAATCAAATACTGAAGCTAGCACGAGAGAAAAGAAAATTCTCTTACCCAGAAGTTCGTGAGGACGTTCCGGCCTTGGACATCCTCGGCCCTGAGCTTGATCTTCCGGAAGGCGTGATCCTCGTCATTCTGCAAGTCCGCCAGCGACACTTCGAACACACGCCCTTTGAGACCATCCGAGGCAATCTACAAGCACAGGAACACATCAAATTAAACCGAGATCAGTAGAAAAAGCTCACCTTTGTTCCCTGCGTTCTCGTCACAAGCGTCTTCCCGATCTGACGAACATTGAAAGTGGACATGGCCTTGACATCGTACCAATCCTTCTTCGAGAAAGGGTCGACACTAACGACAGAAGAAATCAAGCAATAAAATCGAAGCAAAACGCTGCGCCAAACACTTACATTTTCTTCTTGCCTCCTTTCTTTCCCTTGGAAATCCGCTTGTTCTTCCTGCCAAGGAAACACTGATTGAGCTAAAGCTACACGAAACGAGCGCACGTACCCGACGGCCATGGCGCAGCGCAGCCGCCTCGCTGCTCACGAACCCTACCTTAAACCTAAAAGATGAGGAAAATAGATCTCGACCGTCCAGCTAGATTGAATTTAAGTTAGCAGCTCATAGAGGATTACTTAAGGTGGCACAGCGATGCGAAAGTTGGGGTGCCGGTGATCGACACTCCTTGACGGCAGAAGAATCAAAGCCCCTTTCACTGCCTGGCACCGACGCCGTCTCCATCTCGAATGGAACCCTGCATATCCATGAATGAGAGGGGTTGCCTGGGCTTGACAAACAGGATGTCCAAGGCGAAGTGCGAGAATGCGAGAGCGAGCAAGAGGAAGCGACCAAGAATCGATTCCACCTTTGGAGAGAAACGCAATCTTTAAAATTTGGCAATCTACTTCAAGAGATCAAATCTAAATCACACTCAACATCCACATAACTCATCAGAAGAAGCTCCACTATCCTCACTAGTTGTGGCCTCAATACAGCGTTGAGATTTCTCAATTCTCGCCAGAAATACCTGGAAATTTGGTCGGGACCTCGACTTCCGAAAATCTAACAATGCTCAGCTGCAATGGCTCATTGTTCTTGACCAGTATTGAGTTTGAGTCGAATCTTCCGAGTAGCAACCCCTTCTTATGGATCTTCTTCAGTATAGGGACTGCTGCTTTCGAGTAAACCTCGGCAGGAAGCTTGTTTCCCTCGTAGCTAAGAACCAGCACCGGAAACATCTTTCCACACATGAAGCCATAGTCCTTCGTGAATGCCACGACCTTGGAGACCTTTGAACTTCTTGTAAGCCCAGATCTCCTTGACAAAGTCGTGGAGCTGCTCCGAGAAAGTTTTGAACCCCATATCCCTGATCTCGAGCACAACATTCTCGCCAGTGGCACGAACTTGAGCACGGAAGACATCGCACCTACCCTTGGACAACTTTGCCCTGAAGACAAAGTCAGTCACCTTCCAGAATTTGATCGCTTACCACATAACGCCTCCTGTGATAACATGCGGGCGTGATGCTCAACAGCCGAGAGCGACATAAGATACCAAAAGCAGCCTGGCCTTGCTTTCACCCGTTTGAGTGGACGTGAGATCGCCAGCTTCCCGGAGGCAATACAAAGCCAATACACATCCCTCGTCGTGAAGAAGCCGTAGTTCAGCCCGGCAAGCGCCAGGAGCTCCCGCAGGCGGTTCAGCACGGGCCAGAAACAGCTCGTGGGAGAGTCCGACTGTTCAATCGCCTAGCACAGATTGCATGATCACAAGACTGGTCTTTTGCTCGGTCTAGTGGAGCGTCCCTCATTGCTGCCCGAGCTGACGCCGAAGGAAATTGCCTTCCCGCTCAAAGAACACGTCTGGATGGCCAAGCGCGCTTTTATCCATGTCTCTTAAATCAAAGCCCATCTCGCGTCTGTGTCCACTCAGGCTCCGACTCGTTCCAGTAATAAGCACCAGTGTTTGGGAGGAGACCCATGAAGCACGCCACCAAAGCTATCCCACGAGGCTGGTGACCATGGGCCCACCAAAATCCTGGTTAACGGGATCACCTGGAAAGTGGACCGGCGAAGGTACGACCATCTTGGAGACCTCGGCCGCAGTCAGCGTATCATCAGTAGCGAATGCTGTTTCGGGATGGACCGCTGACACCCATTGAGCTGATTAACATTTTTTTTATAAATATAGCGCAAGTGGAAGTACTGAAGCAGACAAAGGAGATGTCTCTTGCATCACGAGAGCTCCAGGCCATACGCACGACATGCATCCCCTTTCATGTAGACTGAGGAGTCGTGCTAACAAGAAGAGAGGGTACATGGATCATGTAACGCCCTCCTGAACTTGCTCCCGGACATAGTCTGGATGTGCTTCATTCACTTGGATGTCACTGTTATCACAACATAAGAGCAGAAATCTAATCCAGACAGCTCTGGTTTCATAGCTGTGATGCTCTGTTTCTTGCTCCTCCAAGTTAAGGTTGAGGGGATAAACACATAAGCAGATGTGGATTTCCGTGTATCTTTATCGCCAGCCCAATCAGACTTGCAAAAGCCTCACAAGTGGATGCTCATCTGGGACATGAGAATATCCTTTCTCTGAAAATTTCGACTGTTTAGCATGGGTATTTTATCAATAGGGTTTGGAGTTTTGCAGTCCCAAATCTCAAGCACGATGTGGTCTTGGATGACACAACAGCAGCTGTCGAAGCATGGACTGCTATGCGGAAACTCAAGCACGAAGATCTACTCAATACTGACCATTGTTGGTCCCGACCAAGTTCAGCCGGAATCCCGACCGCCACTGAATGCAGTCGGCCAAATGCAGTCGGACAGCTTTGTTCAGTGATTCTATTCAGCAATTATAATGGTGATTGTGCTCGTGGGAGCTAGATTTCTAATGCTGTTGTGGCTATCACCATCGCCACTACATCTCCACTGCTTTGCTATTCTCCTGCTGCTATGGAGCAATCCATCCATCCACAAATGCCCAACCCAACAAGCTTACATCGAATCTGACCAAGAGGGCTATAGCCTATAGGAGTTGCATGCGTACCGAGCTCTACAGGGCGACACTCTCTAGTCAGTTAGCCTCTACTTTCAATTGAGCATGGAGCAGTTTGCTGAGGCCTTGCAAATCACCCAGTCCGCAATGCTTAAATAGTAATTTTTGCCCTAAAATGGAAATTACGATTCCAGTGATTTCAGAGATTTAATTCTAGCGATTCTAGCAATTTTGGCACAATTGAGCAATGGCACCCGATTGGGCATGGTCCCATGTTACTAAGCTCACTCCTTATGCTTCTGGCAAAGGAGTTGGCATTGGAAATGTAATTATTGTGGAAAAATGTATGGCAGTCTGCCGAAACAAATCAAGGTGCATCTTGCTAAAATTTTGGTTATAAAATTGAAGCATGTAGTGTTTCAAATGTTCTTTTTCATATTCAGAACCAAGCTCACCAAATGTTTGTGAAGCAAATCATAAATGCCCCTTTATCTTTACCTTCTACAACAAATCTACAGAGTAGGCATTTTAATGGGGCATTTGCTTCTAGAGCTAATACACAAAGTGCTAGTCAATTTCACCCTATGAATGCTTTTATAGGCCATGAGGGATCATCTGTTGGTCAAAAGCGAATACAAGATAACAATATTAGGGAAATGCTTGATGATGCAAGAAACATGAACTTAGATGATGCGATATCAAAGTTTATTTTCTTGAATGCCATACCATTTAATGTTGTGAAAAGCCTATATTTTCGTGTGATGATCGCAGTCACTTGTAAAGTTGGACCTAACACAAAAATATAGGCTTTTCACAACATTAAATGGTATGGCATTCAAGAAAATGAATTTTGATATCACATCATCTAAGTTCATGTTTCTTGCATCATCAAGCATTTCCCAAATATTGAAATCTTGTATTCGCCTTTCACCACAGATGATCCCTCATAGGCTATAAAAGCATTCATAGGGCGACATTGACCAGCACTTTGTGTATTAGCTCTAGAAGCA